TTTGCCCAAACATTTTATGTATTGATGCCTTTCCAGAAAAGAGGATTGTTTGAAAATTAGGATTTTTGGAGGAGAAATCACATTGGACTGGAATCTTTTGGTTCTAGACATTTGCTGGAAGAATGGTTTCATTTAAATGCAGATTGAACTTTGAGAAGTTTGGAGGTGAAGTTAGAGGGGGGAGATTAAGGTTAAGATTTGCTGAAGAGATTGATGAAGATGAAGGCGTCAGATAGAAGTACCAGAGAGAGGACAGGACTTGATACTTTTTCTTTAGAAGAACATAAAAGTTTTCTAAGAATAAAAATGACAAAACAAAATTACAGGTGAAACAAATAGTCACCAGTGAAAGGCTTCCCTGCAGAGTGACAGGCCTGTGGAGAGCAGCCATTCTGTACCATCAACATCACAGAGAAACTCCAGACCCAATGATTTATTAAGACAGAAATGTCAGGGGAACAAGCTTAAAGTGGGAAATGGGGGATGAGGTGGGTGTGTTGTGTTAGGAGAATTGTTAAAGTGAGTGGGGGAGAGGTGGGTGTGGGGGTTCAGGGGAAAAAAAAGCCTGAAATAATGATCACTCTCTGTTTGAAGTTGTCGTGCTGCGTTTTCCCTCGGTGGTAATTTATTGTGTTGTTTTTCTTTGTTTTTCTTGTGCGGAATTCATCCGTTCATTCACAGGGAGACGGACTGTGTTATAATATCAGCTGGGTCTGTGCCACTACTGCTGCCCTTCATTATTAACGTGTGGTCAGAGTATAGCTTTGTTTGGGTAGGCCGCTACTGCTGCCCTTCATTATTAACATGTGGTCAGAGTATAGCTTTGTTTGGGTGAACAGTGCGTGTGTATCTGAGGGAATATTTGTATGGTTTTAAATTTTCTTCTTCTTTTTGACTTTTCCTTCTCAGTTTTCTTGAGTGATTTATCATTAAAACACTGTGATTTTTCCCCCCCGGCAAACCGCTGGTCACCTGATCAGGCAGACGATCAGACTATTGGACTGTCAAGCTGTCCAGACTGTTCTCCGCCCTCACCTGATGACATGCCAAGAATAGGCTCCACCCCTCCCCTGTGACACTGAAAAAGGTTACAGTAAGTGGTAGAGGACGAGGAGTGAATAAGAAATACTCTGGAGGAGAACAAAAAATGATTTCCTTGAGTTCAAAGTTTGCACCTCAAGTACGTTTTTATATAAAAAACACCACAGTCCTGACCTATGAGCCTTTCACTGAAGCTCAGCCTCAGAACACTGAGTTTAAGTTTTCTGTTTTTGAGAACATTTGTCTCTCTCTCAGTTGCTCCCTTCAGGGGAAGTCGCATCACATCGTCTGCCTCCACCTCACGTCGTCTCTTGCCTTTGTCTACGTGTCCTTCCTCGTAACGTCCTTAAACTTTTCTGCCTACTTTTTCCTCTCCTTCTGTGTGGAATGTCAAGCTCTAGTCAAGTTATCTTTGTCAAACTTATTCAAACTCCACTGAAGAATGTTTACTTCCTTCTTACCGTATTTATTTACACATTAGCAATTTTACAGCGTCTTCACTTCACATTTTAACCAGTGAAATAAAAGAGCTTAGAAAAAAATTTAGTCTCAGCCTTTACGGCAGACCTGTGTGTCCTGGAAGGCAACGGTCTAGGAGCTTAGAAAAAACCTTAGTCTCGGCCTTTACGGCAGACGGAGAGCGCTCCTGTGTGTCCTGGAAGGCAACGGTCTAATTTGTCTGCTGTTTGAACCTTCCTGTGAAGACGAGATGAAAGGATGTGTCCTCTCCCTCTTTACCTCCTCCTGATTTCACTTTTAACTCACCTCTAAGGCTGTAGTCATGCATGTCAGTCTGTTGCTCTTTCTTTGCATGTACTGTAAATATATATATATATTTAAATATTTAAAAAACAGATTTTTCTTCATGTAAATATCTCATGTTATAAGGCAAAGTGGTTCTGCTTTGTTGAATAAAAACAAAAAAAAGTGTTCTTCTTCCAGATGCAGATTTAATCAACTGCCAGATGTTCCTGAACAGTCGGTGTAGTTTGACAGTCACCATTTTGAGACTATTTTGAAGAAATCAGAAGAAATTGCAAAATGGCCAAAATGAAAAAAAAAAAAAAAACAACAAAAAACTAGAATGTGCAAGCCCCGAAGACAATGGGTTTTTATATAGTGTTGAGCTGGGACGTAGCTCCTGTGGACACCCTCACCAGGATGGAGTCGTGGTAGGTTGAATAAATAAATAGATGTAAAAATGATGTGGTAAATTGAGAAATAAAATAAGAATTCTGTCTTGTCCTCATGTTGAGGTAACATCTGGCAAACGTCCCATCTGTTTCATCCAGTCCCTCATATGAACAGGAAGATGTGGAAATAACAAGGCTGTCGTCATGTAGAGAGAAACGCTGAGTGTAGACAGCGAGCAGGTGGTCTTTGTTTTGGTCAGATTCTTAGCTGATGTCTGTGTGTGTGTGTGTGTGTGTGTGTGTGTGTGTGTGTGTGGTCTGCAGTGGTAACCTTCAATCTACATAGAATGGTTTGGTGGTGTCTCTGCAGTAAAGTGTACAATGTGTTTCATTTTCTAAACTTAGTTTCAGCAGTTGATGCTGGAAAGGAAATTCAACTATAAATGAGCAGCTGTCGAACAGTGACACAGCAGAAATAAAGCAGTGAATGGCAATCATTTAAAGGCTAAAAATACAAACACAACAGAGTACACAGCATTAAATAACTAATATAATTTATTTTAAAAAGTTAGGGCATATTTTCAGGCACCATTTCTGTAGATTTTTACAAATATATAATTTCACATATTTTAGTTCAAAACTCCTTTGGGTTCCACTTTATTCAAACACTCTTAATTTCTATAAAAGTGTCATTTACTTTAAACAAAAGAGACAAAATTACAAGTCAGTGCAGTTTGTCAGTGTGGCACAAATAAAGGAAACACTGAAATCAATATTCATCTTCCAGCTTTGCACCAATTTTGGGGTCAGCCCCAAGTTTGAGAACTATTGTGTAAGGGTTAACTCACAGTAGATATAGGTTTCTCCACCTTTTATTTACCATAAATGTACTCATCTAAACAGTTCATCCGTCTGAGCGGGAGCAGTAACAGAAGTGGCCGCCGCCATGTTTTCAAATTCCTCCTGTTTATTTCAGCCAACAATTACTTTCTATTTGCAGGGGCTTTCAGTGTATGACTGGAATGTTAAATAGATGCAGGAGATTGGAGGCTATTCATGAAACATTTAGGGCTGAAGCCTCAGACGCCAGAGAGAATATCACTGCAACACTGTGCTTTTAAAAAATAAATAGGAACATGAGATGCTCCCACAGCCGCCTTTTCTTCATAAACATTTGTGTGGAGCAGGAGTTTAGATCGTTTTGTGGCCGAGAAGCTGTTTCAGGTGAAGTTTAAGTCCTAAATATAAGAAGTTTAGTTTGTTGTTGTCTTCTTTTTCCTTCTCTTCTTCATGTTTTACAGTTTTTACACCTTCTGTAAATAAAGAGTTATTTTAAAAATCCCAAAAATCCCCTTCCTCCTATTCTCTTCTACTTTTGCCTTTTTTTTTACTTCTTCCTCTTCTCATTCTTTATCTTCTTTTCTACCTATTTATCTTCTTCTTCTACTTCTTTTCTTTGGCTTCATCTTCATCTTCCTCTACATCTTCTAATACTTCTACCTATTTGAACTCCATCTCTTCCTCCAAATTCTACTTCTACTGCATATTTCTTCTTACTTCCACTGTTTATTCTATAACTGCTGATATTACTTTAACTACCACTCCTTTTTAATGATCGTCCTTCAGGGCTCATCATCTGCTTCAGTCTCATCTTGTCTCCTCCACTATCTTCATGCCCTTGGACACTTTTCCACGTATCGTCTCTAAGCTCTTTCTTTTTCTCTCCTGCCTAAAGGCTCCATCATTAACATCCCGTATCCTCCCTGCGTTGTGTTCCCGTTGTTGAATTTGTTTCTCGGTGTGAACACACAAACCCAGACATGGAGGTGGTATTGCCAAATGATTTCATCAACATCTTGACTTGACATGTGTTCTCTCTTTTTTTTTCCGTGAGGGGAGCGTGAGTCAGTGTTCACAGTGTTGTCTGGAGACTTGACACCAGCTGATTCTGTCGTGTGACTCAGTCATACATCATACACATTATTGGCCACAGAGAGCAGTTAGCCATCCTTGTCTCGAACCTCTTCTGGCGTCATGTTGCTCAGGGCTGATGACAATCCTGAGAATTGTGATTTTATTTTATTTTTTTATATCAGTGATGGTGACGTGTCGGAGATTTGTTTATACAGTAGGAGTCTCATGGTGGTAATTCCAAAATTGGCTTGGCATCTTCTTTGCTTCACTACTCTGTTGGAATTCTGTGGCAGAAAATAGGCCTGAAAGTCTGGCTGCTCAATGCCAACCAGTCTGTTCAGGTACATTAACCAGTTTAATGGCATTCTGGGCTGTAGGGCACATTTGTGTAACCAGCTTTCCTCTGAAATGTTGCTGACTCAGTCAAAACTGTACGAGTCAACAGTCAACCTTCAGTCCGATATTCTCTATTTATGACTTTTTTAAGATTTAAGAACCTAATGTTTCAATGTAAACATATTGTAAATCTGGTTTGAGCTGAAACAGAACTATGAAACCGTCCAGCCTTACATTTCTATGGATTTACTTAAAACAGAACTATGAAACCAGCCTTACATTTCTATGGATTTACTTGAAAGTAACACAGTTCACTTTGGGTGGACATCTACTGTTTGATTTATGTGCTTGTACTTGCACCGTGCAGTTTGTCAGTGTGTTCTTGATTACCTTTATGCTTCCAAACTGTCTGCTTCCAGTTGTTAAATTTGTCATGAATGAAAATGGACCTTATTTACCCTGAGTTCAGACCTGAGGGTATAAATAGAAACATTTTTCAAACGCTGACAACAAACTCTTTATGAAGAAATAAAAAGCTGCATATCGACCTGTCTTTGTGTCTTTCTTCATGTCCAGGTCACAGGACGCTCGCATCATGTCCAAACCTGTGGGTGAGCAGCTCTCTAGCACCACCATCAGTGACGCGTCGACTGCCATGACCTCCTCCACTGTGGACACCTCTGCCTCTAAGGTGAGCTGGACTTCCTGTGTGTTTCTATGTCTTTGATTTGTGTTCGGCTGTAAGGTGTTGGTGTGTTTAACACTTCTGCTTTACACCAATGACAGTGTTTTTCAAGCTAGGGGTTGCGACCCCAAGTTGTGTCACCTTGAATTCAAATGAGGACACCTAAAATCTCTAGTAATTGATAAAAAATTACCGATACAAATAATCTTTTTTTTTTTTTTCAAACATGATCCAAAACTAATTCTAGAAAAGAAAATGTGACTAGACATTTGTGCTGTCAAAATGGGGTAACAAGCCAAAAAAAGATTGGGAACCACTGATCTAGTAGATTGATGCTTTATTTCCCCGCTGTGACAGAACCCTGTGTGGGAGCAGTTTGAATGATTTCTCTATTTGTGTTGATTCTCGTCTTTCGCTCCTGCCCACAGTCCCACTGATCTATGGTAGAATTGGAGTCTTTGCTGTGCCCGTCTTATTTCTTATTTATTGACCAGGGCATACAATTGTGATTGGAGCACATTCTGCACAAAGATAGACGGGATAGAAGATTGTGTTTGTCCTTGACAAAAACCTATCCCACGCTATAAAGAGAAAACAGTTGCTCCAGTACTCACCACACAGTCCTGAAGGAAGAGGCTGCACCGTACCTTTGTTTGTCTAAGTTATGGTCTGGATGACCTCCTGCCTGAAAAGAGTGGGAGGAACAGCTTGTGTAGTGTGTGGGGGGAGTCCTTCATAAAAGAGGACGATCTGCTCCAGCACCTGCGGACATACTGTAAATGTCCTCCGAGGAAGGGAAGCTGCTGTTACCAGTAGGTTTTTTTTTTATCAGGCCTAACTACATCTCTAATGTAGAAGAGCTTCCACACAAAGGAGTTCTCACCAAGGCACACACGCAGTAATAATACGTACGTCAGGACAACAGCAGTAAGTCCAACCTGTTGTGACTGAGAGACTCATTAATAACAGACAGAAAAACAGAAAATGTTTGAATGTTGAGTTAATCTGTTCAAATCTATTTCTATATCTGTATCTAATCACCCTGTGATTATTCAGATTAAAATTCGTGATTGGTTTGCTACATCCAGGTGTTTATATTCTGATATCGTCTCCTGGGGATATGGTGTGAGTCTCATTTCTGAGTAAAGACCAATTTACCCAACTTATGATGCAGCGCAGAGGCAAGAAGCGCATTAAGAGTCCGTTCAGTGCTGGTCTCATCTGCTGACGGTAATTGTTTTGACGAATAAAGTGAAAGAGACTAATGTGCCAACGTTGGTGAAAATGTTAATCACTACACACCTTCTAATGAGTCTCGGGTCGCCCCCCCGACACCCCCTCCTCTGACATGGTCTCTGTCCTGTAGTGCTGACAGATGTACATCTGCCATCAGGCTCTCAGGACAAGGAGAAGTTATGTTTGTGTTAGATAATAAATTAGCCTTAATTATCTTTTGTTAACAGGCACTCACAGTAATTAGTTCCTCACTGTTTCATGTATTTCCATTGTTTTCTGCAAATCTGGTAAAAGAGTTGGTCAGAGTGTCCGGTGGAGTCGGCCACCCACCAACTGACCTGGTTATCTGCAGTTTTCTGCTGACTCGTGACTCCATCTCCCTCTGGATGCTGGGTGATGGTGATGACTAGGATGGATGGGAGCTTTTAGGCCTCCGGCGGTAATGCAAGATTCACATCAGACTCACAGGGAATGAGGACACGAGGCTTAATTGGTCAAAGCGACGTTAGGCGCGGCGGCGCTCTGTGTACCTTTATCCTGATTAAAGCAGGATTCAGGAGTCGGGCAGGTACCTCTGGTGTAATTACAGTGAGGGGGCTTCTTCTCTGTCAGACAGGCAGTCGCACAGAGTGGTAGTTTTCCCATTAGAGTCTACAGTGTTTCCATAACAGCGCCTCCGTGTCGTGCTTTCTCTCATCATGTCCCTAATTGCATTGAACATTGAAATTTAGTCTTCTAGAAAATAATTAAATTCATAGTTAAGTGATAATTAAAACCTGGATAACCTTTAGAACAAAACAGAGACAGTGAACACCGTACATGCCCATATGTATCTTTACACAATTCTCACCAGTTTAAAACATCCCACCAGGTCCTCTGAGGTCTCCCTTATTATTCTTTGTACCCTGCATTCACTCACTCACACGCACGTACACGGCTCTACGGTGGAGTGAAACCTCATCGCGCCTCACCAACAGGTGCAGCAGGCCTAAGATTGAACATGTGTCATTGGCCGCTGTACAGGGATGACAGGACATCCATCACTGTGGGCCATCACCATTCTGCACCACATGTTTTTTTTCTGGGTTACAGCCCTCCCAGGTGCTGCGGCTCATCACCTCTGCCATCAAAGAGCAAGGAAATAGTCTTCGAGACTCATACTGACGACCCCGCCCCCCCCCCAAGGGGTTTTTTTTTTTTTAACACAGGACGGAAAGACGAGTCTCTTAATTCACACTGGAGTCACAACCAAGTCAGAGGGAAACAGCAACCAGCCGGTTTCTCCCATCAGTTACGCCTAACAGTGCTCTCTCCTATGAGAATTTGTGTTCTCTGTCACTGGATGCAAATAATTCAGCAGTATTGTGTTCATAACCTATCTGCTCTGCTTCCCAGGGATTTGTCACACACTGTTTAATTCAGGAGACACTTTTAGGTCCTGGTTTTTCATCTCCTGTTCTGCACCTCTTCAGCTTCTCCACCTCAGAATCCGACGAGGCTGAAGTGATTGGCTGTTTAACAACGAGTGCTTTTAGTGTTTAACACATTCTAGTACGACAACTAATCACACAGTGGTTCATTTTCTTCCTCACTCTCTTTAACAAAGAACGACAATTCTTTTTAACAAATCAACCCAGATTTAAATCACAGGTTCTGCTGCAGTTGGTCTTATATTATTTTCTGCTGGCGTGAACTGTGGCAGTGTTAAACCTGATCCAAACCAATGTCGCGGAATTAACACTGATGCCCTAACTTCATCTAACTTGTATTTTTAGCAGCTATTTATTGTGAAGACTCCGGAGCTGCTATTCTCATGAAACATTTATTAAAATTACAAATCAGTGCAGCTGTGGCATAATTAAAGAAAATATTAAAAATTCATATGCCTTGCTGCAGCCCCCCGCAGTAGAGCCGTATCCCCCGGGTGGTGGGGCGCCCCCCATTTTGAGAACCACTACTCTTAGAGTTAATTCTTTTCTGTACCTGCCGATCTTCCTTGGCTTGGGATCATCTGATTATGTGTCATTTATTTAACAAATTGCTGTTCTGCGCCCTGAGCATCTTACCTACGAGACACACAGAGACGACATAATTACCCTTGGTCTAAAAATAGACCAACCCTGCACACACACCCAAACACATAAACGCTTTAAGACTTATATAACAGACATATGTATGATACATGTACACAGGTATAAATATACTTGTACTGCATACAGTTACTCACCTGGACAAAATAGTAGCAGTTTTGTGTCTTTGCATCATGTCTGGATCAGCCAACATTATTCAGATTAATGAGCATCATTGCTGTTTCTCAACTGTGCATCTGTCGTACCAAAATCATAATCTAGAAGGTTTGATAACGTGAGACCGACAGCGTGACTTTATTTAAGGAGTTGACACAGTATAGACATTTCTTGCTGTCTGGCAGAGCAGACAAACACAGACCTAATGCACAAACGTCACGGTGTGCAGCAGAATCAGCCTCCATTCTGCATGTCTTTAGTGTCTGTTATAGAGAAAAGGGGGGAATGTGTAGTTAACACAGTCACAGCTGAAATGGTCCGGAACGACAGCAAATGCATCACGAAACTCTAACAGACCTCAGCTGGAAAGGTTAAGTCAAGCTGCTCTCAGGCGTCTCGGTGATAAATTTACCGCCTCTTGTATTGACTCAGCTGAGACTTTGCCGTTCTCCTCTGCCTTCTGACATTTTATAAAATGATTCAGTTCATCTACGCTGTAAACAAAACAAAAATATCTCTGCTCTGCTGATGATTCGAGAGGAAGAACTGCTGTTGTCGTTAGTCGGTTGCAAATTGTAGTCACTGGTTTCACACAGAACACACATGAAATATGCTAATGTTTTTATCTGTCATTTTTAATTTTAAGCCTTTAATCATTGCTTCACGGACAGGAAGCAAAAAAACTGTCATTTTTCATTTTAAGCCTTTAATCATTGCTTCACGGTTCTATTTTTTTAGGTTAATAATATGTATTTAAACCTGAGTAGATGCAGGAAAGAGAAAACAGTGAATGATTGTGGGTGTGACACAAAACTTCCTTTATTTAAAACAACAATCTCAGCTTGACCAAAATACACAAAAGTGGAGCAAGAGACTAAAAAGAGGCCACAGATGTAGTGGGAATCTGTCTGTGCAAATATGTTCATATGGTTGACAGAATAAGTATAAGACGCTGCACCTTCTCATTTATACAGTAGTTAAACATAAACCAAGATATGGAACTGTGACTGGGCATCAAAGATTTTCTCATCTTTTCAAACTGTTTTTCCATTAGTGAGAGAGCGTCTCAGTCCATTAGTAATGATGAAATCTCAACAAAATCCACCAAATAAATACAGAAAAAACCCTGTATTTTCTTCTCTGTTGACTCTGAAACAAAATCCACATTTTCATCATTCCAACCGTAGCTCAATTCATCTGTGACCAAGTTTTCACTTCCAACTTTTTGTGTGTGAATTTAATTTTCAAGATCTGCCTCTTGAGTCTGGCATGTGTTTCATCTCTTTGTCAGTGCCATGCATTTTTAATGAGCTACATTTATTTCAACTCCCTTTTTTCTAACACTATACGTAGGAATTATTTTTAAAAATTTACATGATTTCTGTTTTAACACTCCCTGAACACGTACTGTTCTCTGGACTTGTTCTAACTCTTCTCTGCTTTGTTTGTTTTATCCGTGTTTTTGCAGGGCTCCCGCTCCAGTGGCAAACTGCACACCTTTGGAAAGAGAGAGCATTCAATCAAGAGGAATCCTAATGTTCCTGCGGTGGTCAGAGGATGGCTGTATAAACAGGCAAGAATACAGAAACACATACCACATACTGTCTCCACCAGCTGTGCGCCTGAAAATCAGTATTTAAAATATGAAATCTTCAAGGACATGTGCATTTATGATTAATGTCTAGTGATTGGTGGGCTACAGTATGTTGGCCTGTGACGCCAGGTTAATGCTCACTGTGTCCCTGGTGAACGCAGGGACAAATGTATGGCATACATGTTGCTCACATTTACACAGTGCAGGGTCTGGATGAGTTCAACATTGTCTAGGATATTTAATTCAGAGAAGGCTGATTTGCCAGCATCATCAGGACGGTTGGACAGATGAAAAAAACAGCACAGTGATTGTTCATTACCTGCATGTGAACTCCGAACCAAAGGTAGCTTATGTTTGATGTCAATTCAATCAAGGAAATGCATTTGTGGAATCAGTAAGTGGGATCATTAAGCAATCTACTAAATCTACGGAATCTTAACCAATAGGAGCCTTTTATTTTCTTTTGTCGTTCCCAAAAACCAGACCTGAATTCCCGATGTCTTGAGACTGTTGAGATTGTTTTTCAACCATGGTCACCTGATTGTGTCCTCGACGGTTCAGCACCACATACTGTAGACACAGTAGCTGCTGGCCCGGTGTGCACTTGTGTGAGCAGTATTGAAGCAACACAGGGCAAAGGTCATTCCTTAACTCGTCCCCTGCTCGGTGATCTGTACAACATGGTGCTTCTCACTCGCTCCCTCTCCAGTCAGCATGGGTCCCAGCAGCGGCCTACATTTGTTCTCTCTTGAAGCAGCTGCTGTTGCTCACACACTGTTACTGGAGCCTGTGTGTTTATTTCCAGTTCTAAGCAGATCAGCCACAGTCAGCATCATCACACTGAATGTGCTTCACCTACAAAACTGAACAAATAATGAGTGAAGCTGCTGTGATGACCATGCGCAGGCGTGTACACACACTAATAAGCCTAAGTAAACAAGCAGACAGGGATAGCGGGTACATGCATTTATCTCCAAACACACACACAAAACACACACACACAAAACAGTCATTTGGTGAGAAGGTTTCAGGAAACCCCTCCCTCCTGTCTCCCTGATGCCCATCACGCTGCAGCGTTAAGGGCCAGAAAATGTCCAAGTTTGTCTTCAGTGTACACAGGCTCTCTGCCCAACAAACCAGAGAATGAGGACAAATGAGCGCTCCTAATGCTTGTGTACAATTTCCTCTGGTTGTTCCTCCTCCCCCCCCCAGCTCCCCTCCTATTACACTTTCTTTCTTACAGAGAATTCTTCTCCACTTCTTGTTGCTCATTAGCTTAAAAACCCTCTCACTTCTCATCTGTTTTTTTTTTTTATCAATTATTAACACATGTCTCTCTGTGTCTCTGCAGGACAGCTCTGGAATGCGTCTGTGGAAGAGGAAGTGGTTTGTTTTGGCTGATTTCTGCCTGTTTTACTACAAAGGTGCGTCCCGTTCACCCAACCGTCCACGACAGTGAAAATGACGAGTGATTGAGTTTACTATGGCAGTGTTTTTCAACCTTGGTGTCGCGACCCTATGTGGGGTCACCTGGGGTTTACATGTGGTCATCCTTAATGTGCACAATACTGATAAAAAAAAGAGACTTCGGTGTCGGCGCAGTGCTGTTCTTTCCCTCTGATCTCTGCTCTCTGCTGGAGAAACAGCATCGTTTGCGGCGACTTGTTGTCATGGTCACACAGCAGTTTGTGGCAGTTAGATAATCCAGGAGAACCATCACAAACTCTGAACTCTTTTTTCTTTTTCTTTTCCAAAAACCAGACCTCAGTTCTCTGTCTTCTACAGCAGGACATGTCAACAAAATAAAGCATCAAAAAGCGTCTTCATGCTGCTTCTCTTTTAAATGTTCCAGGCTTAAAGCCACCACTCATCTCTGCTTCAGGATTGAACTCCGCTCCTGCTTGAATCTTTCTTCCATTAATTTTACAAGATGATGAATACATTCCTGCGTTTTCCGACTGAGTGTGTCATCCTGCTGGAGTAAGGCAGCAGATGATGGAACACCAAGGTCACAGTGAGGACTCTGAACGGCTGTGGTATTTCGGTAATGCTCGGTTCGTTGGAAAGGAGCATAAGTATGCTCTAGAAAATGTCCTGAACGCCATTTCACTCTCACCGGCCTGAATCGTTGATAGAAAACAGGAAGGACTTGTGTTTTCATGTTCTTTACCTTCAGTTCAACTCAAATATCCTGTTCTTTATTTCCTCATTGCACAATCAGAGGAAATTTCAGTTAAGAGGCAGTTTAATCTGGACTCAGCATGAGGCAGATTTTAATGTGCACTGCAGCCATTGACACACACACACACACACACACACACCTTACTCCTGTACAGTTTTCCTTCTCCATGTTTTTCCACCACTCCACGTCCTCTTTTCATTTATATATCGTCACTTGAGCCTTTTGGGACCCACTCATTGCCCTAGAACAAAATCAATCTTTGTCTTTTTTTCTCTCGCCCTCCTTCCTCTCCTCTTCCTCCTCCTCCTCCTCCTCCTCCTCCTCCTCCTTCACTCAGTTCAAAGGTTCCTGCTCTCAACATGAAGACAATTGATCCCTCTGCAGTGACACTTTTCTCTACCCTTCATCTGCAATTTCCTCTTTGCTTTTTATTCATCTGTTTTTTTCGGTCAATCAAAATTTCAATCATTGTGGGTTTTTTTAAAAAGCTAATCAGTAGATGTAAGAAGATGAAAGTGGAAGGGAAAACATTTTTTTGAGGGCGGTGGGGCTGGAAATAACAATTCGTTTATTGTTATTACATTTTTTTGTCCAGTCCAAAACTCAGATCATGGCTAAGTTTATGTTTCATAATTTAAAATACATGTTTGGATTTTGTAGAGGAAAAAAATATAATTTTTTATTTTAGTTGGTGATCAGTCTTCACTTAAAAAAAAAAACGTTCTGCAGTGTAGTGACTCCATATCTCAAGGCTTTGCATTAATTATTATAAACAAACATTTAAACACGGTCCTGGTATTTTTATTTTTGCTATCAATGTGTGCATCATTACCAAAACAGAGTCTGTTGTTTAAATTGTTTAAAAAAGGACACATAAAAGTAGTTTGATTCGTTCACGGTCCTGGTATTTTTATTTTTGCTAACTCTAAGTTCTAACCTGGACCCAGTTTGTTTTGCATCATAGGAAAAGTAAACCAATTGTTTTACGTTCTTGTCCTCTGACTGCTTTTGTCTCCGTCTGTTGTAAACACTGAAAGTGTTTGTGTGCGACACTGTCTGGACCACCATTTAAGGAATGTCTCCTCTAAAGGTCCTTGGGATTATTTTTAACCAATTGCCCCTTATATCCACCCTGCCACCTTATCACCTCAGAGCCAAACACACACACAGACACACACACACACACACTGGTGACATAATGCATTCCTTGAATCCTCATCAAACTGAAATATATACCTAAACTTAATCCTTACCCTAACTCTAATCTCACCCTACGTCTAACCCTGAATCCAAACTAAATCTTGAACCTAAAAATACCTTCTCATTCAGTGAGGACCAACAGAATGTCCCCACGAGGACCAGTGTCCCCAGAACAACAGTATATTTTCAAATAAAGAACAATGTCCCCACAAGTATAGTTACACCTAAATCTCACACACACACACACACTGACCCGCCGATGTCCGGTGTGTACAGTATGTATTTTCATACCAGTACTACATTTTGCTGTGTGGTATTTGTCACGTGCACGTACTCGTGCACTCGCACATTGCAGCATGTTAGCACAACATTCAGAGGAAAGCAAACAGAGGGAAGGACTTTTATTTATAGATGTGGGAACTAATAAAGATAAGCGCGGCAGGAATGTTTGTCTCTTATTTCAGACCCTGAAAACGAGATGTTTTTATCAAGTCGACTTTTTTTAGTTCCGATGTTTTTGTAAAAAAAAAACGGATGTTGATGAAGTCTTGATTGTAAAAAAATGTATGTTTTCAGTGTGTGGTGGTTTGGCATGGATGACCGATGGCCGTCGGCCAGGTGTAGGCTCCCACCTCCACCTCCACCTCCACCTGTGACACTGTGACATCAACATGGTTAATTATGGTCTGGCACAACACCATGGTTAGAATGACGGAACACAGTCCGAGTGTGTGATAGACTGGTGGCAGCCATTAGTGGGTGATGAGTGATATTAATTCTACAGCTTCCATATCTTTACACCGTCCTCAACCTGATAATCAGCCTCCCGTCCTCCCTTTCTCTCCCCCTGTTCCTCTCACTCACTCCCTCAGCCACTCACCCTCTCCCCTTCTCTTTTTGTCTCTCTACAGACAGCAGAGAGGAGTCAGTCCTGGGGAGTATCCCTCTGCCCAGCTATGTCATTTCACCTGTGGGACCTGAGGATCACATCAGCCGAAAGTATGCCTTCAAGGTACGCTCCTCCTTGTTTTTTATTTGTTTTGTTGTGATTATGTTTTTAAAAAAACAAACAACACCCACATACATATATTTTTTTTTTACTTTATATTTATGTTTTTTTAATGAAATTTTAGTTTAGTTTCCTACATATTTTTACTTTATATTTATGGGGTTTTCTTAATGAAATTTTAGTTTAGTTTCCTACTTGTCAGTGTGAGAACATCACCCTGAGACGTCAGGAACTTTAGCATATTCTAGATTAAAGACGATCACTTTGACACTCTTCAGGATGAATCTCTGACTAAATTCACACTGAAGCGCCCTTGAAAATCTTCCGTAATAATTTTCGCCAATTAAATTTTTTTATGTCAAATATAAATAACACTCCTCATTTTTAAAGTACTTTTAATGAGAACTCCCACCCAGTGATTTGTAGAGAGAGAAGTTCATCAGAAGTGACAGACATTCCTGTCTGACCTGAAGCCGTTCACTCTTTACTGCAGCATCTGTTGCCTGATGAAGAGTTTAATGGGTATTTGCCCTCATGGATGGTTCACAGGTTTGGGTGTAGTAATAAAGTGGAATATTAATCTTTTTCAGCAGCAGGGTTTATTTGGCATCTTCTTAATGCTATCACTTTAACTCCACTTTTAAATGTATTTTTTACTCATTTAAATCTGAGGATCAGAATAATGTCCTGATTATGTTGTTATATTTTCAGTTTTCCTTGAGATGGAACATAGACATAAATAGTACCGTCCTAACTGTAAGTTCAGCATAAAACTACAGTATCTACAAACCAAACTAGTTCTCCTTCTAGTTCGACACTCATTAGGACTGAATGTCTGTCATTGTCAAACATCTTCACTGGAGCGACGTGAAGTGTTTCCTCAGGCACAAGTGTTTTTGAGCCTCAGATGTGTGAAAGACATCTGACACATGTGAATGTTCTGGTGCCAAAGCTTTGTGTATTCACCCTTTAATCAGTTAGATATCAGTAACATTACATTATTAACATTTTCTTCTCCAAGTAACTACTGTGCCTTTAGCGATAAAACAAAATGGCGTTGACATTAAACCTGCTTCCTACAGTTTACATTGCATTGATATTTAATAATCTAAATATAAAATATAAAGTTGATTTAAATGTAATAATTTTAAACAATTTTTCCCGCTGATGTTCAGTTTGACCTCCATGATTTCACGGGTGCTTGAAATCCTTGAAAATGTTTACATTTGAGTTTTGTCAGCCAGGTTATAGTAACTGAAACTTTATTTTTTGTGTTTTTATAGTTAATACATAAATACAGTGAGAACTCTAATAAGGTTAATACATAAATACAGTGAGAACTCTACAAGCCAAGTCAGATTAATTTGTGTCGCCCATATTCACACAAAACACGCCAGGATTTTTATAAATATATATATGTATATATATACGTTTTTCATATTAAGACTGTGAGTTTAACCTTCTTTGTTATGTTAATGTAGTTAAACTAACCATCACCATTTTCATACCTGGAATTTTAAAGTTGTTTTTAACTGGGACACTTGTTTCAGATACACCCAGCCAGATTGTGGAGGTCAAACGACACTCTGTGCTTGTGTGTGTGTGTGTTGTTTGTGCAAACCCATGTGTGTCTGTTGTTATTGTCTGTCCTTCGTCTGACATGCCCTTGTGTTCTACTCTATGCTCCATTAAATTATGGTCAGTGTTCAAACACTGGCTGTCAGCAGAAGACGGTGTGATCATATAATACTCTTCAGGCTTTTACACTCCCGACTCTCAGCTCTGTGTCATTCACCCTAAACATGTTAGAACTGTGTTCTGTCGAGTGTTTAAACCAACATGTGATCCTGGTTTGGTGTCAAACCTTCGATGCACGGTGCTGGTTAAAGGTAAATTACATTCTAGAAATGTGTCTATTTCAATGGTTACCCTTGATTTGTAAGTGACCAAAAGCTGATCCAACCCCTCCCCCACATTCACACATGATTTTTTTCTTCTCTGAATTTTAGTGTTAGCTGGCATTCTCTAAGTGGCATTATTATCAGACTAGACTACTGGTTCACATTAGACTACTGGTTCACATTAGACTACTGGTTCACATTAGACTACTGGTTCACATTAGACTACTGGTGGTTCACATTCATTAGACTACTGGTTCACATTAGACTACTGGTTCACATTAGACTACTGGTTCACATTTCCAGAAATAGAGGGAGAAGATTTCGACACACGATACACCTCTGGTGACTTGTTAAATTAAAAGATGTCCTTCTGTTGGACTATAGAAATGCCAGACCCGCTCATTACCAGATCAAACTCCCTCCCTCCTTGACCCTCTCCCATCCCTCGTCACCCTATGCACTCACTCCTGTCCCCTCTCTTGTTCTCACTGGTCGGCTGCCTGACTGGGACCTCCCTCACTGTGAGTGTGTTGCGTCATCCAGTGACAGTCCGTCCATAAATAGGTATTCTACACTCTCACCTGCTCTCCTTTGACCAGAAACACACTTTTAACGCCCTCGTCGTCTTCAGTTGGTGTGGCTTTTTCGGTTCCATATGTTACAGAATTTACAGCTGCCTCGTAAATTTCTGTTTGGTTATCAAAGCATGTGTCCGGCATTTTGGTTGTTTTTTTTTTTTTGTATCCTGTCCATTGCACTGCTGTGTCCACTCCACTGGTTTTGTTACAACAATGTTTATCATTTTACTTTTCTAATTTGGTTTTGGGCTTTTTATCTGTTTTCTGTGTGTGCATCTTCTCTGTCTATTCCAGCATGCAGTGCTCTGATGGGGTGAACAGATGTTTTTTTGTTTTTTGTTTTGTTTTGAACTCATGTCACTGCTCCAAAAGTGAAAAGCAGCAGGAGGTTTTCTGTAAATGCAGCCTTTCAATCCCGCCCTCACCTCACTGCTGGTTTTCTTTTTTAGAGTGGCTGCTTCACAGAACTGTTGAGCAGAGACCTTTAAAATCCAACCTGCCTGTGAGGACGCTTTCCTTGTTAACAGCAGGACGAAAGACCATATTTTTTTTACTATTTATTGTAATTTTACAATTACACAAACCGTGGTGGTGATCTTGATGAATTTTCAGCTGAATCTATCTGGAAGATGCACCTTATCTGCTGGTTGTATAGTGCTGTGCCTGGTGGTCCTTATCACATGAACACAATCGCTCTTTAAATAGTGCCAGGACAAAGACTGTGTGTGTGTGTGTGTGTGTGCTTGTTAGCACACGTCCACAGGGAGAGAGCTCACACTGTTGTACAGCCCATCTGGTTGAAAGCTGTTACTGATATTTTTCAGTGTGTCCGTGAAAAGAAGGCTGAATGGGAGTGAACAAATAAAAGCCAGGAAGTTGTTGGGGTTGACAAAACCTAATGGACACCTGATAAGACACACACACACACACACACACACAAACATATATATAAAAATACAGACGACAAATTATCATGAAAAAAACCAGCTGTGCAGAGGAAGGAAGAAAAGAAAAAATCAGATATAAACCAGAGCCGTTTTCTAATAATGGTATATAAAGTGTATAAATGGACAAAACAAATGACAAAGATCAGCCATCAACATCTGGACCGACCACGGAGGCCAGACAAAGCCGCGCTGTGCAGGGTTTTGGACGTAGGTGTGTCCGTCACGCACTCACTGTT